TCTACCATTGTGCTGGTTGCCACGATCCCTGCTCCCCCTGTTCAGCACCAGGCTGCACCCCAGAGACACCCCACCTCAGGCACACTCAGGCACACCCCGTGCGGAATCCAGGGTGCACTCACCACGCACAGCAGCCTCGTGGTCTAGCTGCGGCTGGACACAAACAGTGTGGGCCGGCCAGGCATGGAGATCAAGGAAACCGCTAGTGTCCACCCACAGAGGCCAGCAGGGATGGGGACGGCAGCTGGGGACAAAGGTCGGAGGCATCGGCCCCTGGAGCTCCAGCCTGACTGGTGCTGGTCAGACCCTGGTGCTCCCTACAAACTGGACTTCCCCATATCAGAAAGCGAGGGCTGGCTCTGGACAGAAGCAAAGGAAGCCTTGAGGCCCGCCAAATACTTATTTTCCCAACTACACCAGCGGAGCACATGTGGCTCCGGGGTCCCAGGGCTCCGTTCGGAACCTCCCTGCTCGTTCTGCGGGCCGACCCCGCCGCATCCAGTCATGGACTCAGGCACCAGGGTTTTCTAGCCCGCGTAGAGCAAGGCCGGGAGGCTGCCAGACAAACAAAAGCAGGATCACAGTTTGTTGGTCTCTGAAATACACGGTCTCTCCTCTGCCGTCTTGCAGACACATAGAGCCACCTGACTACACCAGTGAAACACTTGGATGTGATCATCCCCTCAAACCCTGCACGCCCCATGTTCAAACAACAGTAGTGACAAGTAAACTTATTTATGGTAAGACAAGGAGCAAGCAGACCGCTGACAGGAAGAGCAGCAAGGAGAAACGGCTTCACCCAATGGGAGAAGCAGGCGTTGAGGCTCAAGGCCCTTCGGCTGTGTGGAACGGTTCGGTGCGTGGAGGCTGCCGCCCCAAAGTCACCATGGCTACCATGTGAGACACTGCTGCAGGAGAGGGACAGCGGGCACTGAGACGTGTGGTTGCTGTCCTGGCCACTCTGGAAGCTGAAAACCATGGGAACCTAGAGCTCAGGGCCAGCGAGGGCAGCACAGGGAGGGACGTAAGCGTTCACTGCCTGCACATGGACGCCAGTCTAGGGGGAACCCAGCAAGTCCTCTAGGCTGGGGATGGGAACAGCGAGAGCTGGCCAGCACTGCGGGAGAACCAACACTACCCCAAAGGTCAGGAACAGAGCATGGGGGCTGGACTGGACACCCTCACACCCCAGGTTTGCAGGGGCTCCCAGTGAGTGGCCGAGAGGGAAGACAAGGCTGTGAGGACCCGGTGCTTCCCAGAGCCAACTCCATGGCTGTCAGCCGCTGTTACCCAGGCCTCTGGACACACAGCAGGCCAGTATGATCAGGCACTGTAGTGCCCAGGGCAGCCTGCAGTTCTCAATGATCTTCACAAGGGACCAAGCGGCACAGGTCATGGTGGGGACACAACACACACGGCACCACGCACGGCAGCTGTGGACCCAAGGCACAGCCGCATGAAGCCCATCTGTCCCTGCGGCTGGGGCTGTGGAGGGCTGGGGCTGGCGGCCCTGCTGAAAGGACAGGTACCCAGACACCACACTCACCCCAGGTATGTGCACACAGTCCCTTCCTGGGGTCCAACTGGGAGGAGCACGGCACCAAGCGTTCCACAAGCAGGCCCTCTGAGCCCACCCCTGTCCACTTGGACACTGCCTGTCGCTTCAGAAACCTGAGAACAGCACTGGCCAGAACGGAGTGGAGAGCTGGCTCCACATCACACTGGAGGCAAAGTCCACTTCCACCACAGCAGGCGGTGGGCCAGCCGGACAGCCAGGGCTGGGTCATTGCATCACCTGGACAGGCAGCCTCTGACCCAGCCGCTCAAGATACGACAGGGACCCGCGGTTCCCTGGCGCACCCCACACACCACACGTCACATCACAGAGTCTGCCCTGGTTCTGATGGACTAGTGACCACGGAGCCCTGCAAGGAAATCGTCACACAGGAATTTCCCGACTTTCAAACATGCGTGTGCTCTGGCGCGCAGGCCAAGGGGCAGTGCTTGCAGATGAGGCCTGTGTGTGCTGGAGGCCTCCCGGGCCACCGTGGGGTGAAGTTGCACAGGATGGAACAGCACAGAGGACACTTGTGGGAGCCGCGCACACCCCCAACCTCCAGAGTCTGCATGGCTCTGGTGGGGCAGTGCAGCTGCTGTTAGGACTCTGCACAGAATTAACGATGCCTTTTAATTAACGACGGCTCTGTATTTGGTTTTACAATCATGTTACTCCTATAAGTAAAACAAATATTAAGAAAAAACTGACTTGTCTGCAGGTCAAACCTCTCATCCCTGCGGGGTCTCAGCAGTCAGACGTGGCGTGGCTGGGCAGAGTTGGAGCCCTGGCTGTCCCATGTTGCCCATCAGCACTCGGAGTGCAAGGTTTGGGCCTTGCATCAAGGGTCAGCGGCCCTCTGTGCCACACGGCTCGTCACTACTCTCATCTTCTCCTCCTCCCCCCACCACCAGGACTTCCAGGGCTGGGAGACCCCTGGTACCGAGGAGTTAACTGGGGCTCGCTCCTCTCCATTGGGCACAGATCACCCTCTGCTGCCACCTCTCACAGAGGCGCAGGACCAGCAGGGCAGAGATACTGGGCTGCCGTCCACATTTAAACTCCTGCAATATAGGAGGAAGCTGGGAGCATCTGACCTGGCAGAAGTCAATCCCGTGGGTCCTTCTAATCAGCAAAGTGGCTTCCCATGCTGCCCATGAAGGACCAATCCTGTACCAGCTGCACCGCCACCCACAGAGCTCTGGTTCTCCCAAGACAACGGGCCTGGCATTCCTGGTGGCCCTGGGAACAGTGATGCAGACACCCAAAGCCCTGGCTCCGCCTCCCTCTCACTGGGTCCAGGTGGACCCCAAGGGCTGAGACTGACCTCGCTCCTGCCGTCTCATCACGGTCACCGGCAGTGGGGGACAATGTGCACCCCCAGCCTTCTCAGGGAGCCAAGGCAACGAGAGGGACAGAAGCACAGAACAGTGGACAGGGCTATGACCCGAACCCGTGCAAAGGAGACCACGTTAGGAACTTCAAGTTACTGCAGAAGAACCCCACAAAGCTCAGAGCGAAGCCACACATGGTCCAGGGCAGGCTACGGCATAGCAGGTTGGCCAGTTACCCCAGAGGTCACCCCAAACAAGTCCTGGGGACAGCCAAGGGGCACCCAGGAGTACCCGGGTGAAGCCCAGGAACGGAGTTCCGCTGCCCATGGTCCAAAAGCCACAATCACTGCCAACCGCTCACCCCTTCTGAGAGAGTCACTGTGCAGTCTGGAATGCTGGGTCAGCCCCTCCTGCTGAGGGCACCCCTGGGTGGGCTTTGGGAGACACAGGCTCAAGCCAGGAACAAAGGCGATGGCATAAATGTCAGAATCAGTGGGCCAGAGATTTAGCTCAGTGGCATAAGCACCAGCCTGGCAGGTCATGAGTTCGATCCCTGATCAGCCACTGTGGACTGCAGCACAGGAGGGTCATCTGTCTGGATCCGTCTGATCTTCCCTGTCTCATTTCTTGGTTTTTCACTTATCAAGCCAGGGTCCCCTATGTAATTCAGGCTGGCTTTGAATTTAGTGCCTCTCCTGCCTCAGCCTCCCCGGTGCTGGGGTAACATGCTCTGCTAGATGTGATGGTGCATACCTAAAATCCTAGTCCATCAGGGACACAGCTCGGTGGCTTAAATGCCTGCCTGGCAAGCACAAGTTCCTGAGTTCGATTCCTGGTTAAAAAAAAAACAAACAACCAACCTATAATCCTAGCACTCTAGAGGCTGAGACAAAAGATCACTGAAAGCTCAAAGCCAGCCTGAACTGCATAACGAGACTGTGTCTCAAAAAGACAGAAAGATAAGATAAAATAAGTATTTACAAAAGTGCTGAGCTGGGGCTGGGGATGGGGCTCAGGGACGCTAGCAGATGCAGGCCCAGGACTCCACTCCCATGCCCCGGGAGAGAATAGCGGCCCCACCCTGCTGCTTTTCTTCCTCCCTTCCCAGCCCTCTTCAGGGACAGAAGCTTAGCCTCCATAACTGGAAAGGTGGGGACAACTTGCCCAGCATCCCTGGCTTTCTAGGCTCAGCTTCCCGCAGAGCTAGCTACCCCGACATGGCCTTTGTCCCCTGTACTACCAGCTGTGGGCCCCCGCTGACCTGCTGACCACCTCATGGCCTCGCCTTGTCCCTAGCCTGGACTAGGTGACCTTTATTTAAGTCAACAGAAACAGCTTAGCTGTGAACCCGACTTTAGGGGATAGCTCCTTCTTCTTGCAACAGAGTAGCAGCCACTCAGGCGATTCAGCAGATTTAGCAATTCAGGCGGCAAAGGGAGCTGAACGCCGACACTTCGGGGAGCAGTCCAGGGCTCCAGGCAACAAGAAGAGCCACACGTGGTCACTCGGATGCCACCATCACAAAAGGTGCAGCCACAATAAAATAACTCCAGGGCCAGGACCTACCTCAGCGGCACAGCGCCTGCCTGGCAAGTGCAAGGTCCTGAGCTCCATTTCCCAGACCAAAAATAACACCTCCAAGGGTGACATCCCACAGAGTCCTGGTTGGGACACAAAGGAGGCGTCTCAGCGAGGCTCAGGCCACACAGTCATGCAATGGTGACAACGATAGTCACAACCACAAGCCAGACCAGCAAGGGACAGGGAGGCTGCACCAACCACATTCCCAGCATTCCCTGATCACAAGCAGGCCCAGAGGTTAGCTACGCAGACTGAGCCCACCAGGGATCTCCTGGTCTGAGAGGGAAGGCAGGAGGCTCCAGCCCTCACAACGCCAGTCACAGGGCCCAGGTGCTGTCCCAGAGGGGCCACTGGAGCACGGAGAGATGCTGCCCAAGGTCCCTCAGCGTGGGGCGGGACTCGTCCGCCGGCCAGTGTGACCCAGGCTCCACTGGTGCCTCGGGCTCCCTGCAACAGAAGCCTCTTCCCGGACCCCCACGCCGGGGCTGTGCAGGAAGCCCAGGTGCACGCACAGGTGAGCAGCCACTCACCTCACTCACCACGGCACGGGGTCAGCAGGGCGGGCACGGCCGTCCTCACAGGTGTCCGACTGGAAGGGCCTGGAAGGAGACACACTGTCAATGAGCTGCATCTATGGGACAGGAAGGTATCTCGGAGCCAGGCAGGAGCCAGTCCCTGAGCCTCCAAAAGGCAGAAAGCCAGGGAAATTGAGTCACAGCTCTGCTTTGCCTCCCAGAGAGGAAGGCCACTGACTCACGCAAAGGCATGGTTCACAGCCCAGGGGCCTCTCTGGGGCCACTACTGCCACGCTGGGCACAGCAGCCGAGGGACACGAGTGCCCTGCACTCGTGGGCTTTAAATCTCGAGGAACACACACCAAACTCACCCGACCATGCCTGAGCACTGCAGCGACACCCAGCAGCCACGAGGGTGGCCGGCATTCAGGCCCCGGAAGGCCCTGCTCCAGGACGGAAATCAGGTCCCTCCCTTCCTGCCTCGGGCTGTCTGTGCCCCACACACTGTCCTGTGTGGTGGCAGGCCTCAGGATTCTGCTTTTAAAGCAAAACAGCACTGCAATTTGGAGCATGTGCCCTCCCCGCACACAGGAGTCCTGAGCCCCAGTGTGGCTGCACCTGCAGGGGTGGCTCCAGGCAGGAACTCGGGCAGGGCCCTCGCCAGCAGCCATCCTCAACCGGCAGTGACAACTTCGAGAAGCGAAGCCCAGAGCTTTTTTGGAGGACTGCGTTGAGCGGGACAGGCCTCTGCGTTCCCCTCCGGGAGCCTCATGGCACCAGCCCCATGCAGACCCACAGCCGGCTCCAGCCACGCTCATCACAATGGAGGCGGCCGAAGCCACTCTCCGGGTCTGGAGCCTCCGGTTTTCCTGTGCACTTTGCTCCTCCACAGGTAACAGGCTTTTACCTCTGGCTGCTTCTACCATGGGCACCCAGTGCTTCTCCCTGTGCCCAGTGCTTGCTGAGCTTTGTGGAGATGAGGTTTTGCCACAGCTGGAAAAATGTCAGCCCCAGCCACCGCCTCTCCCAGCCTCCCTCATGGGTGCCCTCCAGAGAGCAGTCCCAGGCATTACCAAAGTGTGGTTCCTGCCAGTTCCTCTGTGTCCCTCCTCCCAGAGTCATTTCAAGCATGGGGAGGTTTGAGTTACATCTGAACTGCCCTGAGGGCCAGCTGCAGGGGCGGGCTGGTGGGCTTTGGGGAGCGGCTGGGCAGGAGGGCGCTGACTCCCAGCTGCTGACGCTGATGGAATCCTAACCTGCCCGATCACCAGGAGGAGACAGGCAGGCGTGGGTCTGGCAGAGAGCGGGCCACTGGGCATGCACCTGAGCACAGCATCCTGTCCCTGCCCCTGCCCCCTGGGCTCTGTCCCTGCTTCCCACATCCTCTGCTGCAAGGCCACCTTCAGACAGGGGGCCTCAGAACCATGAGCTGGAGCAAACACTTCTGCTCCCAGATCTGTTCGCAGGGTGCCTCACAACGGAAGGGCAACACTGCAGCCCTCTTCTCCTGCGCCACCTGCCTGTCAGTCCTGGCCAGTGTGCTTCCCATCTCTAGACTCCTTTCGGCCTTTTTTGGTATCTGCTGTTTCTCTTTATTTTACTCCCATTTTCCCCGCCATTGAATACAGAAGCACAGAAATGTGAGTACACACATGACCTACTGGACATTCCTGTCTGCTAATTTTTTTGTTTTGTTTTGACATAGGGTCTTGCTCTGTATCTAGGCTGGTCTCAGATTCACAGAGATCCTCCTGCCTCAGTGTCCCAAGTGCTTGGATGATAGTTGGGTGGGGGGAGGGGAGAACAGGAATTCTGCACTGTCAGGCTTTCACTGAGCTGGAGCAGGCTTCTGGCTGGGCCTGCAGGGGTCCCCTGAGAGCCCACCAGGACCTCAGGCTGGCCCGGAGCAATAGAAGCCCCTGCTCCCTTTTTCTGCTGTCAGTGCACCAGCTCGCTGGGAGCGCATCTCTACGCCTGGGAAACAGTGCAAAGCCAACCTGCTGGCTGAGTTAACCCAGAATGCAAATCTGAGTCACTGAGGCTGCTGGGGCCTCCCTCCAGTCAGAGGCAGCCTGGGGAGTGACCCGCAAGATCCTGGGGAGGACGGTGGCTGTCCAGTGCCTCTCTGGACCCAGCAGGGCAGCTGCCCCTACCCAGCACCTCAACCTCCTGCAGGCCCTACAAGGTTTCAGCACTGTGAACACAACAAGCTTGCAGCAGGCTACACACGCTAAACCCCCACCCCAAACCCCCACCCCAGGAACTCTGTGACCTCCCATTCTGTGTCCCTCACTGTCCTAAGGAGTCCCTTGCACCAGAGAGCTTCAAATCTTGATTGGTAAAGCAGCCAGAGCAAACAGGCTGATCATCCTCGTTCTGGGAGTGGAGCCGGACAGGGCCAGCTGCACAGCAGGAGAGGACACAGCCACCATCCGGGGACCCTGCAGCTCCCACTCTGCATGCACGGGGACACGAGAAGCACGCAGTGCCTGCCATTCCCCGAGGACGGGAGCACAGGTGCTGGCAAGCTCCTGCTATCAGCAAATCTCAGGGAGCCCAAGAGACAGAGACCCGAGCAGGGAGGAGATCTTCAAGCCCTATAGTGTAAACCCAAAAGAACAAAAAGGCATTTCCAAAATCCAGCCATCAAACATTAAGTCAAAACGTAATACGTGAATTGAACAGTAACAAAAATATTTCACATCACAACTTATAGCTTCCGCCAAATCAGTTCTTACAGGGAATGACTCAGAGCACATTAGAGATTTTTAAAAGACTGCCACAGATGACATAAATATACCTCAAAAAGTTAGAAAAATGCCAGGCATAATGACACAAGCCTGTACCCAGCACTGGGAGGGCTGAGACAGGTGGACTGCCATGAGTTTGAGGCCAGCCTGGGATACGGAGTGAGATCCTGCCTCAAAGAAAAAGGAAAGCAAAAATCAAAGTTAACACAAAGAGAAGGGATAATTTTCTTTCTTTCTTTTTTTTAGCGGTACTGGGGATCGAACTCATGACCGCCTGCTTGCAAGGCAGGTGCTTATGCCACTGAGCTAAATCCCCAGCCCAGAAGGGATAATTTTCAAAGCAGAAATTAATAAAATACAAAATACAGAAAAGGCCCCAGAGTTGGTTCTGAGAAAGGATCAATAAAACCTACAGCATTTTGTCATGCGAGACCAAGATAAAGAAAGAGGAGCAAAGGCACAAAGCCTGTCAGGACCAGGCACAGGCCCGGGGCTGCCTCCGTGGCCGTGGCAAACGCTGAGGTTGGCAGAGCACCAGAACTTTGGGCTCTCGGATCCAGAGCTCTTGGGACAGTCGGGGCCCTGCTGCCCTTGGCCTATGGAACCGGCAGCACAGTGCAGGTGGGCGAGGCTGCCCAAGATGTGGCCAGGACGCAAAAGCAAAAAGGGAGAGACTGATTACACAGTGCGTGGGAGGGCGCCGTTTCCTGACTCCTCCCACTAGGCCCTTGTTATGCCCCCCAGCAGCGCCAGCCAGCACCCTCAGCACACGGCACTGGGCACCGCAGACCCAAACCCTTGGGTGAATGTCACGCTCAACGGACCCAGCAACGCTGGCTGTGACCAGGAGCCTTGCAGCCCCGAGCCCTGGGGACACCAGCCAGCACAGAAAGGGAGAAAAAGGAACACCCAGGATGGGGAAGGAAAATACTGTTAAACTCACAGGTGGCAAGGACATACCCCAAGAACCCTGAGAGTTAAAAGAATGAATAAATGGTTTGAAGTAACCTACAAACACGTTTGAGACAGTAAGGAAGTTTAAGGCTGAGGCTACAGCCGGAAGACCTTCTCGAGCACGCAGCCTGCACCTGTCCACAGCACTGCAGAACAAAGCTCAGCGGGGAGCCACACAGACCGATATCCTGGGCCCAGACACTCAGGAGCAGAATGGACCAGGCAAAGGCCAGCCCCAGCAAGCCCAGACCATGGAGAGGCAGGTGGAGGCGAACCTCTGGCCTGCACGCTCGTCACCACCGCCAGCTCCAACAGGTGCACCATCCCCACAGCAGGGGCACACACGCCACACGCCCGAATAGACATCAAGAGCAGATGTGCTGGAGGCTTACAGATGTCCCAGACTTTTTCTCCAACTTCCTTAGCAGACATCACGCACAGAGGAGCTAAAATAACAACACCACAGTGTCTGATACGGATATGCAGATTAACATGCATGAGTGTCTGTACCTGCTTGGGGTTGTTGTCCTGGAGGAGGTGCTGAGGAGACACAGTGGGATGGTGGCAGTGGAGGTGGCTTTGGACCAGGGAACCGGTGCTGTGTCTTCAGGGACAAGGAGCCATGACCATGAACTCTGACGAGCAGGGCAAGGAGGTCAGTGGGCAGGGCCATGCGTGTGCACCATGGCTGTGTCCCCTCCACTCATGTGGGACACACAGGCACCATCCCTGCACAGTGCAGGCCGCCAGCCACTGTGCCCAACACCAGGCTTGCTGGGGGAGCAGGAAGCACCAGGACCAGGCAGTGTGGCGCAGGCAGCCACGGGCCCTCAGGTTAGGGAAGTCCCTGAGCAGGACCAGGACGGCTCGGCTGCTATCTCCAGCCAAGGATAAGCACTCAGAAATTCAAAACCACGCCACAAACAGCAATCTCAGCGAAACCTGTTTATTTCCTGGTGCCACCATGTTAGGGATGGGCAGGGTACGGGGCTGGCACAGGACAGTGGGAAGCTGCCTCTCCATCTCACCCCTGGCCCTGGGGCCTCTTGTCCCCCTGTCCCGAGGAGGCCATGACCCCAGTATCACTGCCCTAGGGTCCCTAAGGCCATCAGCCCACAAGGTGTCCCTGGTCACAGGTCACGGTGGCTCCAGAGCTGGGAGCATCCCACCAGAAGTAGACAAGTGACAGCAGCCACTAGTGTCACAGCCTTGTGTCTGTCCCTTGCTTTTCTATGAGCCAGGAAATTCACAAATAAAGGGCGAGGAGGTTGGCTGTGGTGCAGAGGCCCTGCAGCGGCCTGGCATTCAATCTGATCTGGGCACCGGGAGCCTGGCACCACAAAAGCAGCCCAGGGGATCCGGGAGAGGCTGTGGCACTGG